TACTCGGGCACAGATTATCGCACCGTTCTTCTTTCTCTTTCTCTCTTTCTTTCTTTCTTTCTCTCTTTCTGTGTTATCCACGGAGTCTGTAATTTTCTTCTAGCGACCGTGCCACCACGTCGCGCCGAAATTGGTGTACGATGGAAAGATTTCGTGGAAACTTTCGGTCCACGAGAAAAGAAGAAAAGGAAAGGAAATAAAAGGGAAGAAAAGAAAAGAAAAGTAAAGGAAAGGAAAGGAAAGGAAAGAAGAAAAAGAGAAGCTGAAGAGAAGGGTAAGACGAAATGGTGGTGGCATTTTTGCTTCGGCGGTCGAAGATCAGAGGGAAAAAAAGGTCGAGAAAGAAAAATGGCGACATGGACTAAGGGCGTTGTTGATTCGAAGGTAAGATAAATAACGAACTTTTCGAGATTTCCAACATTTTTCCAGGAGGGTGAACACGGTTTTAAGGAACACGGCAGGTCAGGTATCTTATACCCCGATCGGTTCGAAATTACAATATTACTATTTTTCAAGAAAATAAAAATACTAGTAAATTCCCCGTATTATTTCGATCATATTATCAAACAAACATTTTTTTGTTCTTTTTTTTAAATAAAAAAGTAAATTACTGCCGCGATTTCTTTTTGTTTTTTTGTTCCGAGTGATAGGAAAAAAAAAACACACACACGTGGAATGATAGATTCGTGCAAAAGTACACACGTGAGTTCGTTAGGTCAATCGGATAGTTTGGTATTTCAATTGGAAAGTTTTCTGCACCGATGGAAGCTTACCTTATTGTACTTTTGCACGAGGAAAGAGAGACACCAGACAACACACCGTAGAGATCAGAAAATTGCCGAGTTTCGAGTGAAAGGACTTGGCCGATTCGCGTGCCATTATAATTTACTTTCATGTTCCTGAGAAGTAACGTGATTTCCAACACGGGGGCCTGTGGCCAAATCGAAGGAACCTCGGGAACCGTGTTATTACCAAAGGCTTTCGCCGCGTTATGGATTTCTGCGGACGATCCTAAATGGATTTTGACGGTACTCGGACGAACCTGCGCATCACCGTAGAAAATTCACTACGTAACGAATCCCCCAAACCCCATGATACTTTCTTCCCTTTTAATCTTCTTTTACTTCTTCCTGGAGAAAATTTGTAACACTGGTAAGGGACATTGATCGATTTTCAAATATCAACCTTAAAACAACAACAACAACAAAAACACACACGCACACGCGCAGCATACGCCCACAAATAAAATATACACAAATTATTTCCATCCATTTCTAACGTGGTTATGTCTATACCTATTTCGATCGGAAGGTATCTTTTGACACCTTTACATTTGACGATGCAAATATCTCTCTTAAAGAATAATCGTTAAAAAGTTAATAGAAAAGATTGAAGAAAAATATATACAACATAATTAATTCAACAATCATTATAATAATAGTCCAACAATCGTTCAAATTGATGATATCTTTTGATACCTTCGATAGAAATATAGCGTTAATTACGATCGAATTAATAATTCTTAATTACTATCAAATAAATAAATCAATTCTAATTACAATCTACGCGCGACATGTCATAACAGTTTTCACAATATTATCAAATAGGTTTTCTCTCGTCATTTTATCATGAAAAAAAGAAAAAGTAAAAAATGTGTGCTAACGCTTCCGTAAACGTTGGGTTATTTTCCAGGAAGCCAAAGTATGGGAATAAGAGGTGGGGGAGGGGATATGCGTAACAACGTACTTTCGAGGTCGAGACTCTTTCCTGCTTCCAGCACCTGCAAAAGATCAGGCCGTGCACTCGATGCTTGGGCAAACAATACGAACGATGATGCACCGTCCCGAGCGCATTGTCCGTAGCGAGTAGTAGTAGGCGGCGGATTTATCTGCCTACTCGTAGAGTCAGGTAGAGGAGTCCAAGGGTCCTCGACCCTCAGGACACGTCGCACTGTCCGACGGAACCGATGGATCTTCTTCTTCTTCTCCTCCTCCTCCTCCTCCTCCTCCTCCTTCTTTACTACCTGGTCTCCCTTGTCCCCCTTTTACCCTTCTAACTTGTCGTTCTTTCTCATTTTCTTTTTTTATTTTGATTTTTATTTTTATGTTTATTTTGTTTTCTTTTCCTTTCGCATTCGTTATGGCCTATTTTCGCGCGTTCGATATCATATGATCCTAAATGGGGGTATTTCATTATGACATGATTATTTTCTTAATCAATGCATCAATGTATGTATTTGTGAATCTCTTTTTCTCTTTCTGTTGGTGATATAAATTCGGGAAATAAAAAAATAATAAATTATCATATGTTTCTTTCAGTTTGTAATATATTCTCTACTCTCTGTGTTGGAATAAAAGAAAAAGGTAGAAATTAATATTGAGAAGTAGACACTTTATATGATATTCTTCTTGGGTACGTCAATGCGTGTGTGTGTTTTGTGGATGATCTTGATGATAAGGAAGGAATAAAGAATAACGAAAAATAAGGGGAGGAAAAATTTACAGTTTAATATTCCAATGTTGTTTAGGACGACAGGAAGGGCGAAAAAAATAAGGGGGGGAAAATAAAAATAGAGATTGAAAGTAAAAATTGTAGACGAGATAGTTTCTCGCGTTCGGTAACTATAAAATAAAGATGTTAAATCACGCGATACGCGCGTAAAGTTGGCCGGGTATGTTCACCGCAAGCGAGGTCGAATTCCTGTTCGAAAGAGAGAAAGAGAGAGAAAGAGAGAGAATGAATCCTGGCATTGGTTTCACGTATCTCAATGCGGTCACGACGACGTTTCGCGATCGATCATGATCGAGTTTGTAGAAGAGGCGCCTTCTAAAAAGAATATTTCACATCTCTCGTACTTGTTCGAACGAATCTTATTTTTTTTTTGGTCGTAACCAAAATCATCGTCGAAGGGGAAACAAATGAAAATAAATTGAGACACGAATTACACTACTACTACTACTATTACTATTACTAATGCAGGATGGAAAAGAAAAATTCAAAAATTCGAGTTAAAGAAGAAGGAAGGAAGGAAGTTGAAAAAGAAATGAGAGCGTATTTCTGAAGAAGTAGAAGAATAAGAAGAAGAAGAAGAAGAAGAAGTAGAAGAAGAAGGAGGAGGGTGGTGTAAGAGAAGAGTTGGCGCGCGATCCCTGAGCCGCTTTCCTCGTCACGTCACGAAATTCCAGGACCTTTGGCACGGGCGTACAGGAGGTTCGTATGGCCGAGCGCGGAATGAGCGCCGACGGTAAGTCAGTTCCTCGCATACCGGGCTCTCAGGTAGGTAGGTAGCAAGGAGGTAGTGAAGGGACAAGGGAGAGGAGAGCGTGCGCGCGCGCGTGAGTTCCACAAGAGAGAGAGAGAGAGAGAGAGAGAGATTGGGAGAAAGAGAGAAAGCAGAAGATAGGGTCCCAGAGTGGGAGAGAAAACGACGAAAGAGAAAGAAATAAAGAAAGAAAGAAAGAGAAGGAGTATAGTAGAGTCTAGGTGCTCGCTGCCGTGCCGCGCGTTGAATGCCTGGGCCCGGAGTGTATCAGGCCCAGAGTGTATCGGAGTGCGCTCCCCTCTCCAAGATGGCCGCCGCTCAGGTCCAGCCGGGTCCCCCTTACTGAGGCAGCCGAGTTGGTCGAGTCAGGGGAAGGGTAGGCCTTGCAGGTGCCGCCATGTCAGTGCATGCCTAACCTCGAAGCCGCGCGGAACGGACGCTGGCCCGAACAACGCGACACCTCGTGCCCGCGAATACCCGAGTTTCGTTCGATCCCGAATAAGAGAGGATTTCTTGCCTTCTCCCTACCAGAGATTATTCCAAGAGATCATAGAAAACCTGCTAGATCGAGCTTCTCTTATATTTTATACACTGTGACCGGTTTTTCACGCGGATATATATCTACGCGTATGTGTATATATACCTTGTGTGCGTATATATACGTATAGTTATACACGTAGGAGAGAAGAAGAAAAAGAATAAGAAGAAGTTAAGGTGTTACGAAGAGATATATGATCGAGAAACACATAGTGGACCTAGTCCTAGTAGGGTCCTATAAGAAAGAGAGTTCGTAGGAGAGAAAGCAAGGAAAGAGATCGGTAAACGCGGAATCCAAATTTTCGTTCGTATATATTTATCTATCTATCTATCTATACATATATATCGATATATATATATAGAGTTTATCTCGTCGCGAGTGAACGGTTTCGTGCGAGTTTAGGAACAGATACGACCCTGGATCCTTTCGGTCGTTCACTCCCGCTTGAGTCTGGGATCCTTTTCTATGATACCAAGCGCCGTTGGATAAGCCGAGCATCGTCTGTCTCGGACCAGGTTCCTCGTACCAGGTAGAACGGAACGCAAAGCTGGTACGACGATGACGAGCAACGGCGGAGGAGAAGCGAAAGGATCGCGCCAGGTTCGCGACCGGTCTTGTTGACCATCCGGTTATCGTCGGTGGATCTAACGCGAGGAATGTACGATATCTCGCGGCGCGTATATGCCCGGTGACAGTGAGTACGGAGGATGGTAGGCTAAAAGCAGTTGTATATTTTATATGCTGGAAAAGGGAGTTTCGTGGTCGGAAAAAGTGTGTGTCGAGTCGCCGCGGACGAAGGAGAATCGGAAAAGAGAGAGGAGGAGATCGACAAAAGATAAAGAGAGATGAGGTGATTGTGTGTTGTGCTGGGTTGGTGCTGGTGGGTGATCTAATTTGACCGAAAACGTGATCTATAGAAGATTTAGAAAGATCAAGAGAGAGAGAGAGGAATTTCGATTAGTCGGAGTTGGAAGTTAGACAAGGTGGAAGATTCTGGAGAAGAAGAGGGTAGCGAGGAAGAGGAGGAGGAGGAGGAGGAAGAGGAGGAGGAGGAGGATTTAACGTCGTAGAAGGATAAATCCGAGGATGGAAGGGTCGAGATAATAAAAGGAGCGCGGAGTGTAGAGCAGAGTGTGAGAGAGATTCCAAGGAGGAGAGAAAAAGAAGTGGTTAGCAGGAGGAGGCCGGGAGGAGGCCAGGATGCGGCCGGTAAGGCACCTGCTACTGTTGTTCCTCGTCCTGGGAGCGAGCCTCGCCCCGGGCACGCGGTCCGAGTTGGTCAGATGCTTCGAGGTTTCCGAGAACGCACGGCCAGGCACCAGGGTGGGCTTCATCGACGCGGAGAACCCTCCGTATCTGTTAGTTTCGGTCTCAGGATCAGCGGTGGATGCCGATCTTACGGTCGACCAAACGACAGGGGAGATAAAGACTAAGGTGCCATTGGATCGAGAGACAAGGCCTTCTTATACCTTGGTATCTCTGCCGCAAAACGTCAAGGTGGTTGTTAAGGTGTTGGACGAGAACGACAATGCACCTACATTTCCCGTTGACCGGGTGGACGTTGAATTCCCCGAGAACTCGCCGAGAGACGCGAAGCGTGCATTGCCACCGGCGAAAGACCCCGATCTCGGTCAGTATTCGACCCAACGTTACGAGATAGTTTCGGGTAACGACGGCGAGGCGTTTAGATTGTCGCAGCATCGCGGTCGCGATGGCGTACTCTATCTGGATCTTCAGAACGGTGGTACGCTGGATCGTGAAGCTCGTTCGAACTACCGTCTGGTGATCGAAGCCCTCGACGGGGGCTCGCCTGCCTTACGCTCGAGGCTGCACGTGAACGTGACGGTGCAGGACGTCAACGACAATCCGCCGATCTTCAATCAGACTCGGTACTCTGCGAGCGTGCCGGAGAACGCGACCGTCGGCACGCCGGTTTTAGCCGTGAATGCGAGCGACGCCGATGCCGGTGAAAACGGTCGGATCGAGTACTCGATCAATCGTAGACAATCCGATCGCGGCGAGATGTTCCGCATCGATCCGGAGACCGGTATGGTTTACGTGAACAAGGCGTTGGACTTCGAGTCGAAGGATCGTCACGAGTTGGTGATCGTAGCAAGAGATCGAGGCGCGCAACCGCTCGAAGCGAGTGCTTTCCTCTCCGTCCGTGTCACCGACGTCAACGACAATCAACCGGCCATCACAGTGATCTTTCTCTCGGACGACGCCACGCCTAAGATCAGCGAGAGCGCTCAACCGGGCGAGTTTGTTGCGAGAATATCGGTCAGTGATCCTGACTCCAGGACGGAGTACTCGAACGCGACGGTCACGTTGACCGGTGGCGAAGGACATTTTGGTTTGGCTACCCGAGATAATATAATTTACCTAGTAGTCGTTGAGAGACCCCTCGATCGAGAAGAGAAGCCCGTTTACGAACTTTCGGTCGAAGCTACGGACGCTGGTACACCGCCTTTGAGAGCGGTACGTAATTTCAAATTATTGGTCACCGATGTCAACGACAATGCGCCGAAATTCGAACGTGACACGTACGAGGCGCATCTACTCGAAGCATCCGAACCGGGTACATCGGTTCTTCGTGTTGTCGCCACGGATTTGGACGAAGGTGCCAATTCGGCAGTAAGATATTCCATACGTAATTCCACTTGGTTTGCCATCGACGAAATTTCAGGATTGATCAGCACGATCAGTCACGTCGATTGCGAAGCAGATCCAGCTCCTATTCTCATAGTTGTGGCAACCGATTCTGGACGTCCACCTTTAAGCAGTAGTGCTACAGTTCGCGTTACGGTTCACGATCTCAACGACAACGAACCCATCTTCGAGAAGCCGTTGTACAATGCCACCGTGCCGGAGGATATGCCAGTTGGACGCTGTTTTCTCAAGGTATTGTTTCTTCTTTTGCTTTTTTTCTTTCCATCCCCCATCCCCCATCGTTCATTTCTTCTTCGACAAAACGTAAGTTTAGCGATTCGATATTCCTTTACAATTTCCTTATTACGCATACCTTCTTGGAAATGATTATTCCTGATCAGCAACGTGTTACTTTTTAATAGGTACTTCGCCGATGGCGAGTACCCACCATGCGCGCGCGCGTTTTTATCATTATTAGAAGAATAAAAGTCAATCAGTGGGCGATAAAATGTTTCGAGTGAAAGGCAACATTCCGAATTTTTTGGATCCTTCCTTTAACGACGACGATTCGTGTTGTTGACCTTACGTCAAATCTTACCTTTCTTATTTTCCTTTTAACGAGGAAAATCTTTATAGTCATTCGTGTGATTCGAACCGTACAGAAAAAAAAACAAATTCAACGATCGATCGTTAAAAAATGTTAAAAATCGTCAAAAATCGATTCGATAAAAGTGACTTAATTCTTAAAAATACGTATTATTTGAAAAATGACTCTACATCAATGCATAAGAAAATTATGACGATGCAATTAATTGCTTTCTGCGTTGTATAGAATATTCATTACAAAATATCTAATAATATTATATCTGTTAGGGGAAAAATGTTTATCAAAATTAAATCAATTTTATATTAGATGATATTACAAATATCCATATACATCGAAATACTAATTAAATCTCGAAAGAGTATGGATAGAATAGAAAACTACAGTTTAACTATTTCTTTCTGGGAAAACCATAATTGGGTATCCCTATAACCAAAGGTTTTCCTCGGAGCGTAGTGCAATTAGTATAGCTTGTAGACCGTTAAGGAACGTTATCGATCAGTGCACCTCTATCGTGGAAAATCGAGAGTTCGATAGTACGACCACGTTCGTTCGAGCGAATCCACACGATCTTTCGCATTCGTTGCGTACCTCGACAGTACTCTGTGGAGAAGGAGAGTGAATACGATACTACACTCTCGAAGGAACGTGAATGAGGAAACTATCGAGTATGGACGAACGGTACGTGAATCGTTCAGGGACGTATCTTTACTTTCATCCGACCCAAAACTCAGGACACCAAATTAAAACAAAATTCAAACAAATTATTCTTAATAACGTTATTAGAGAAAAGGGGAAAATAATAATGTATTAATAAATAATCAAATGATGTGAAAATGAAAGAAATATTGAATTGAATTGTAAAAAAAGAAAAAAATAGGATTAACAATTTGAGTAATTTTTAAACAAAAGGGTCTTTTTAAAAAAAAAAAACACACAATTATAAAATAAATAAATAGTTTTCTAATGTTAATAAAAAAAAAAAAAAGAAATAAATATAAACGTGTACAAAATATGCACATCGTATTATCGCGTTGTATTAATATTTTTTAGTCGAACGGGTCGTCGTTTCTTTTTTTATTTTATGTCGCAAGAAGTGAAATTATTAAACGGGGACTTATTTCGAATTTATCCGTCAATATTTTATTTCCAACAAAATCATTTGTATTAAAATATTCCTGTGCAATAATCAAGTTTAACAAGACAATCCTCTTCGATTTCGATATTTTTTTCGCTTTTTTTCTTCTTCTTCTTCTTTTTAACATTTTTTATTTTATACCATAAGCATTTATTTTTATTCTTTATATTTATGATGTCCTTGGCGTAATAGAGTTCGCATACTTACGACTACCGTTGTCGATACCTTTACTTTCTCCTACTGAGACGCGCCTTTCTCCAAGCTTATATGGTACGTCCGATAAATTTCAATACCGGATAATAATAAACTAAATGCAAAATTTAACTTACGAGAAAGATAGAAAGAGAGAGATAGAGATAGAGAGAGAGAGAGAGAGAGAGAGAAAGATAGAAACTATCGTAAGACTTTACAAGTATTTTCTACGTTTTAAAATCATTCTCAAGTGATTTCGAAGACAGGTAGCTTTAATAAAGAACTTTCCAAACGTATTCCCTGCTAGTTTCACGTATTAAAAACATCCATCAAATTAACACATATAAACACAATGAAATAAATAAACGAGTAATATACCTATATATCGGAAATAAAAAAGAACAAAAATGAACGGGAAAACGAAGTAATAAATTAAATTTTATGTGTATGTATATATGTGTGTGTGTGTGTTTGTGCGAGGACAAATTAAATAAAATAAAAATAAAATTTTTTTTGGTATATTTGAGGAATAATTAAATATATATATTATTCCTAAAACCGCGTTCAAATATTTGTCAAACTAACACATAAGAGAGCAATTGAATAAATTACGAATATATATATATATATATATATATATATATATATATATATATATTTAAATACGTATCCGTA